ATATTGTGGCTCAATAGGCCACGCAAGTTTATTATCTCCCATGGGCGTGCCAAAAAGGCCCCAATCTTATCGGTTGGTACCTTGTGCAGTTGGTATCGTCGCACGGTAAACTGCCTGTCACAAACGATGAGGATTACAACTTTGACCCAAACACACGGGAGTTCTATCAACTAGAGGGGCTAGAAGGGAGGTTTGACATAGACATGTTTTCGTTGATGGGCATGGAAGTAGACAATGACATTGATCAGGACGATGGAGACGAGGACGACGGAGAAGAGGTGCAAAATGCTAAGGACTTACAAATGCTTGAGCGATTACAATTAGGCGATGACAATGATGACAACGATGGAGATGAGCCCGATTTACTCAACAATATTGATAGTGATGACGACACCTATGATCCAGCCGTTGCCGATCGTGAAGAATATTTCTAATTCATGTAATACTATATTATTATTATTATTATTATTATTATTATTATTATTATTGCAATTATGTTTCGTTCACTTTGCATCTCTTTATAAGTACTTGTAATTTAACTGTGCTAATTGGTTTACTCTTTGAAATTGCAGGCACTCGACAAAATGCCGGGCGGAAGGCAGGCCCATCGGGGGGTCAACTCCCTCTACATGAGGGAGCGCTCACCACCCCACGCTGAGGAGGACCCCTTGCTGGAGCCGTCGACGAGGAGGACAAGGAGTGGCCGCCCCTGCGGTCGTCCGAGGACGAGGGTGCAGCCGACTGCCACCCCGTCGGTGGACGAGGACGACCAGGCGGTGGGCCTGCACATAGGAGGGGGTGGCACTTCCTCTGACTCGTTGGACCATGGGGAGGTGGTGATAGCAACATCAGGGGGTTCCACTTGCACTGCCTCTGGCTCTACCTCGTCGGGAGTCTACTTGCGCGGGCCTCGCAGCTCCCGGTGCGGCCGATCCCACTTCACCGGCGCCCGGTGATTCGACCCAGCGGTGACAAGTAAGTATTATTTCACTACTATTTCATATGACATGTTGAAAATCGAACTGGAGACTAACAATTCTTCTTAATGACTCTTGCAGCAACTAGGAAGTTGTGTTCGGAATGGGCCGGCACATAAATGGCACCCTGGGCCTTCTGATTCGGCAGCACTACCCTGGCATGGTCACCTACGCCTCGGTGACTTCGCCGCCCTGGACGTGGGACCACTTCTATGCCGCCGAGGATAGCAAGTTTGGCACCGTTGCGGTGGGGATCAAGGCCGAGTTCTGGGTGAGTCTTCATCGCACTAAATTGGTCAATACTACGCATTCATTGGTCGTTCTTGTAATGAAACGATACATGATGTCTGTATGCAGGACTTCTTCAGGTGCGATGAAGGGTTTGAGGACCGGGCGACGCGAGTGCAGGACAAGGTCTGTAGGTCCCGACTCTCGGACCTGTACCACGAGACGCGGCTCCAGTGCATCATCAACTACAGCACCGATGTCCTTGGTTAGGTGGTGAGGAAGGCCGATGTTAGGACCAGGACGCTCACCAAGGAGCAGTACCTCTCGGTAAGTATGAAACATTAATACTGACTCCTTCCATGAAGAATAGGTAGGATTCATTTCATCTTCTGACATATCAATAACTTGATGGCATGCATCAATGTCCTGATTGGTGCGCCAGGCACCGCCTCTGCTGGGAGGCCATTGTGGATAGGTGGCTCTCGGAGGAGTGGGTGGAGAAGCACAACATCCGTTGGGACTACCGCCTGCAGATGGGTGGGGTGCCACACCACTAAGGCAATCGGAGCCTCAGCGCGTACGCCCAGATATGGGTAATCTTCTTTGTGTTTTCATCTTTATTTATTTATTTTAACGCTCAATTCTCATTACTTGTAATCATCTTTGTGTTTTCCTCGCAATCCCAGGCGCACCAAGGCCAGGAATGCAACGAGTTCATGGCGTACGCCCTAGCACACAAGGGCAAGGCGACGGCCCTGGAAGTCACCTACAACCCGGCAGACGGGCCCGAGGCGTACACCAACGCGAGCATCCACATCAAGCTTAGAGAGTACACCTCGGTGGCCCACGAGCGCCATGGGGAGGACTTCGATCTGGCCACCCAGCCCCTAGACACAGACCTCCTAATGAGGCTAGGAGGAGGGAAGCAGCACGACCGGTACTGGATGGTGGACAACACAGTCGACTCCGCCTCTGTTCCCATCCTCGCCGAGATTCGAGCAAGGAGCACGAGCTCCTCCCTCCCCATACGCTCTCGGCAGCAGAGCTCACAACAGCAGATGGCGGAACTCCAGGTTAGTACTGTTTTATTCGTCGTTCATTGCTTTACACATCTACCTTGCCTTTGCATTGTTTAAACATTGCGGGTGGAATGTTGCAGGCCGACTTGCGGAGGTTGGAGGCCCAGCAGGCGGCCCAGGCGAAGGCCCATCGGCTGGAGATGGAGGTTGTACAAGCCTAGAGGGCGGCCGAGGAGCAGAGGCTGCAGGACATGTTCAGCTTCATGGCGAGCCTTCAGGCCTTGCCAGGTGTGGTCGTGCCCCAGTCGCTGCTCGCTCCAGTTGTGGCTCCTCCTCCTCCTGTTGGGACTCCGGTGAGTATATATGATTGTTTATTCCTTTAGCTTGTGCGGCCCTCCTGTTGATACTCATGAATTCGCTTCTCCTTTGTGCAGCCACAGTCGGCGGGTTCGAACCCGACTCCTCAAGGTGGCCCTTCTCCACAGGTCGGGTGGCCAACTGGCCCTCCTCAAGGTGGCAGTTCACACTCCGGGTGGAGAGGCTGGCAGTAGGTACCGTTTATTTGTTTCTTTTCATGTTGCATGGACTTGTGTTAGACTTAGCCTTATGTTGGACTACTACTAGAGACATATATATATATTGTGATGGATATTGTCATGGATGATGCGAATGTATGTGATGGATTATGGACAATGGATTTGTATGTGATGTATTATGGATGGTGGATGTGTATGTGATGGGTTATGGATGTGTATGTGATGGAATATGGATGTGTATGTGATATATCCTGTGCTGTGTGTTGATATATATATATATGTGTGTGTGTGTGTGTGTGATTTCTTTGTTTGTGCTGATGGAAAGCAAAAAACCAAAAAAAAACATTTTCCCCGTCTTTGCTGAGTGCCACATTCGGCAAAGAGGACTTTGCCGAGTGCCGTGACCATGGCACTCGGCAAAGCTGGGAAACAGAGACCCGATTTCCCAGCTTTGTCGAGTGCCAGAGCCATGGCACTCGGCAAAGATTTTTTTTTAAAAAAAAAATTTCTTTGCCGAGTGCAAGAGTATGGCACTCGGCAAAGAATTTTCAAAAAAAAAATTCTTTGTCGAGTGCCGCTGAGGTGGCACTCGGCAAAGAGGCCGTCAGAATTGACGTCGGATTTTTTTTGCTGAGTGCTGACGTGACACTCGGCAAAGGCTTTACCGAGTGCCCGATATGTGGCACTCGGCAAAGAAACCTTTGACGACGGGTTCTTTGCCGAGTACAATAGGGGCTTCGCCGAGTGCCCTAAGCACTCGGCAAAGAGCCCGTCTGCAGTAGTGACTGTTGGTGAAGTTGTGCCAAATAGACCCTAATTAAAGTACATTATTTTTGAGAGAGATGTTACTAATTTTTTTTTGAGGGGAGAGAGATGTTACTAACTAATCACCAGGATTATTATAAGGAAAAGAAAGAGAAAAAAATCGGGCTTTGTCTTTCTCGTGTGGTGGGTTGTGTGGTTAGTCCTAAGTTTACGAGGTGGTACAGCTTGGGCTCGGCCCAAAACTAGATGAAAAGGAATTCCGACTTCACGCGACTTCACTCGATTTGCTCCACCGCACTCGTGTGCCGGCTGGGCTATGGGCTGCACAGGCCTTGATGTTGGCTAATCCTAGAACATGCACAGATCACGCAAGGAAAAGACGAAGAACACATGAGAACTATCTGTCGACAGAGCTCTTTTCGTCAGATTTTTTATATGACCAATACACAGACGATCACAAATGGTTCTAGGAACAGCTAAACAAATTAAAGCACATACTGGCTACTCATACCAGTAGCGCGCACACACACTCACTCACTAAGCAAACTGCTAATCGGAAGATAAAACATGGTGCTGACACGCCAGCCATGATCTCACGCACGCCACACATCACTCCAGTCTTGACGCGATTCAAACTCAGAGCTTCCCCCAATCTTTGGTGTGGACATCATCGGGTGTTCGGGTGTGTCAGGAAGACAGACACAACGTGGATTATAGCAACAGTGCATATACATCGCCGGGAGTATATGGAGGTGGTGCAACCACTGTGCCCCGATATGATGCCACGCCGTGGAGGAAGAGAGGAAGACCAAACCACCATCGGGACACCGTGGAGGAGAGGGTCGGGCCTACATCATCTTCCTCGACGACTTACTCTAACGTATTCTAAATCTAAAAAGCAATAGTAATTCTTTTACTATTCTGAAATGCATGTACAGGGTTTCAAAAAGAAAGAAAAGAAAAGAAAAGAAATGCATGTACAGTCTTTAAGCAGATTATTACTCGAAAGAAAAGATGAGCACGCACGCTCAACGTCGAGTAAAAGTAAAAGACATGTCCAGCGAGCAATACGCCAAAACATGAGGGCCCAATCAACAGAAAATTATGGCCGTTGATGCAAGCTTGCCACTTCGGCCGCCCACAGACTGCAGCCACACACAAAAAAAAAGCAGGCTAGAACTGAGCTGAGAGCCCGAGAGCGAGATGTGGGCCGGGAAAAATCTCCCCGGCAACCTCCCGACCAATGAGGAGGCGGTGCCCACGTGGCATGCTCCACGTCCCCCTCCCCCCATTCCCCTATTTCTATCTCCTCGCCGGTGGTCGTTTCAGCTTATTGGTGGCACACACACGGGTCATCTTCTAGCTACTACCCCTAGACTGGCCGGGTGCTAGCTAGCTCAGCAACAGCGGCTTAACTCTGAAGCTTTTCTTCAAAAGCCCTAGCTGCAGGTGTGCTACTGGTCAGTTAGTTCACCATGGGCGACTCCTCATCATCAGCATCTTACATCAGAATGGTGTGTGTGCTATACACTACCCTGTACCATTTCTACAAACGGATGGTTTTGGTTGCTTAATTTGTGTTGCTGGTTCAGGTTCACCATATGATAGAGAAGTGCATCTGCTTCAACCTGAACAAGGAAGAGTGCATGGACGCGCTGCAAAAGCATGCCAACGTCAACCCTGTCGTCACTGCCACTGGTACCGCTTGCATACTCGTACTGGTTTATCTTGCATCATGCATATGCTTAATCGATATTTATCTTCATCACCTTATGCATATGTTGATATTCTGTTCTGTCATTTCATGTGATCTGAAAATTACTGCCGCCGCCGCCGCCATGCACAGTGTGGAAGGAGCTGGAGAAGGAGAACAAGGAGTTCTTCGAGACATACAAGAAGGACCGCGAGGAACGCAACATCATCGAGGCGGAGACCATGGAGCGGATCCAGAAGATGCTCTCCGAGGCGGCGGCCTCCAAGAGCTCCGACGACGACGAAGGCTAGCTAGTATCCTTCCGATCCGTTAGCTCTAGAGCTATAGATCTCAGCTCATGCATGGACTCATGAACGCACCAGCTCCTCTCCATGGGAGCACAACCATCCCCGTACGTACCGTACGTCATATATGAGACCATTTCTCTCTCTCTCTCTCTCTCTCTCTCTATATATATATATATATATATATATATATATATATTTTATATACTCCTGGGTGTAGTTACTCCTATAATCAATAAATCACTTTGCGTATATGTACATACTCATTTATCAGTTTGAGTATGTTGATATACCAATATTAAGATACTCCAGATCTTTACTATGTAATTTTTTTTTCAAAAGAGCACATATTTTTTAATATATTATATAATACTATGATAGTAGCATATAAAATAAGTATAATCATATATTCTAAATATACATACATACTTGTCATATATAGTACCCTAGATGATCTAGTAGTATGATGATATACTCTATCTACATACACTTCATCGGGTCATATACGTCCTAAATCTAGAGATATACACATGAGAGTAACTATATATATAGCTTGCTTATATATTAGCCACGAACAACATAACATATGCCTCTGCAAGGACCATGCCTGCATGATGTGTAGTACGTCTGGTTATTAGGACGAGAGAAATTATGTTGTACGATGGACTCATGTACAAAGATGCATATATATTCGACCGATGTATACATAAGAATCTACGCATGCCCGTAGGGTGATGTAAGCCAGGCTTATCATTGACTATTGGGAGCCAGGGCTCTGAATAGCTGATGAGAGCCCCAGCCAGCCTAACCATTCAGATCCGCGGGACTAACACAAGTGCAGGTAGGGGACCACTGTAGACCCTACAGATCACATACATAAAAACTCAGTTCAAGCTACACAAAAACATTCTTGTTGTGATCGTTGCACAGAAATTAGTAGTTGTATGAATGAAAATTAATTCGCTACCGCATAGAAACCTCCTCGCGAGCCGGTCGTTCCACCTGACACAACCGGATAGAGCTGACGCAAGCATGCATGCACGCATCCAATCCAATTTCTTTCGTTTTTTCATTATAATTCCTCAACGAAGCATCTAATTCAAAAACGGTTTTCACCGTTGAACTCCTGACATTTTTGTGCACGATTCAAGATCCACTGTGAATATTTTTCAAAAAAAAATTAAATTCATAAATTTGAAATTTGAATCATGGCACGTGATGGCTGATTGGATGCATAGAATCAATAGTCAAGATGCGTAGAAAAGTTTTTGGCGCTGACGTTGCATAGAAATTAATGGTTTGATGAATAAAAAATAATTTCGTTACCACGTAAAAACCTCTCCGCGATACGAATATTCCACCTGGCACAACCATGATTGCCTCCACTAACATCATGCTTTCGTCTACGCATAGAAACTTGTGATCGAGAGCATAGAAACATGTAGACGATCTCGTCTTTTTCCAAGATTTAAAATTTGAATCATGGCACGTGATGGCCGATTGGATGCATTGAATCACCGGTCAAGATGCACAGAAAAGTTTTTAGCGCCGACGTTGCATAGAAATTAGTGGTCGAATGAATAAAATTAATTTTGTTACTGTGTAAAAATATCTCCATGAGATGGACATTACACCTGAAATAATAACCGTGATTGCCTCCACCAGCATCATGCTTCCCAATATGGGGATGTATAATTAACATGGAAACAATGCATAGAACATGGAGACCACAAGCGTAAAAACATGGAGACGATCTCATCTTCTCCGAAATTTGAAATTTGAAAATAGCACGTGATGGACAATCAGATTCATAGAATCAATGGTCAAGATACGTAAAAACATTTTTGGCACCGACATTGCATAGAAATTAGTAGTTTGATGAATAAAAATTAATCTTGTTATCGCATAAAAACCTCTCCATGAGATGGACATTCCACTAGAGGATGATTATTTAATAGAGGAACAATGCTTAAAACCCACGAAACCCTTCCCACTGGGGGATTATTGTAACGAACATTGTAACAACCTCACCCACACTGTGCTTTCCACTAGGTTATTTAATAGAGAAATAATGCATACAAACATATAAAACACTACCCACTAGGGTACACTATCCATAATGGTCCCATATCACAACATGCTTCCCACTGTTTTAGCAGGAGTAGAAAACTATTTTTGAAATTAATGTCAGCTATATGGAAAGAAATGTCATCCAACAATGTATAGAAGTCTTCCAACAATGCATGGATAATTGTTCCTACAATGTATAGAAATATGTTTCAACATTAAATAAAAATGTGCTCCAACAATGTATAGAATTGTGTTCTAGCAGTGTACACAATTGTGTAAAAATATACAAACAACTACTCCAACAATGCATAGAATTGTGTCGCAACAATATATAGAATTGCGTACCAACAATGTATAGAATTGGGTATAAGCGTACAAATAATTGTTCCAACAATGTATGTGGAAGTGTTCTAACAAAGCATAGAAGAGTGCTCTAACAATGTATAAAAATTGCGTAGAAGTGCACGGATAACTGCTCCAACAATGTATAGAAATTTGTTGTAACATCAACTACATCAACTTTTTACATTAACCCATCAACTGCATCAAGATCACACTACGCCATCGCCGCAAGACAAGGAAGTCGTGAACGTCGCAAGCCATGTCCTTTGTTTGAGCCACCGTCCACTACCGGATTCTGCTTCTTTGCCGAGTGCCTCAAGCACTCGGCAAAGGCCGATATACACTCGGCAAAGCCTTTGTCGAGTGTTACACTTGGCAAAGGGAGCTCGATAAACAGTTTATCGGCAAAGATCTCTTTGCCGAGTGCACTTTATCGGACACTCGGCAAAGCCTTTGCCGAGTGCTAATCTGACACTCAGCAAAGAAAAGTCGCCATGATGGCGAGCGCCACCGTGACGGCGGCTTTGCTGAGTGTCAAGGTCAAGCTCTCGGCAAAGGTCGCCGCTTTGTCGAGCGCCGTTGACTCAGACACTCGGCAAAGGTGGCCACTGTGCCGAGTGCCACCGGCAAGACACTCGGCAAAGGTAGACTATTTGCCGAGTGTCCTGTCAAGACACTCGACAAACAGGCGACCTTTGCCGAGTGCCTGGCCCGTGGCACTCGACAAATCTGTGATGTTTGTCGAGTGCAATGGCATTTGCACTCGGCAAATCATGTTCCCAGGTAGTCACTTTGCCGAGTGTTATGGCCATTGCACTCGGCAAAGTGACTGAAAACAACCTTTTTATTTGTTTTTTACATCCCATCCAAACAAACAGAAGATATATATAACAAACATCACCAACATCACATATATATCATCAACAGCACATATATATCACCAACACCACATATATATCACAAACGTCACATATATATCACAAACGTCGCATGTTTCCCAATATATCACAAATAAGTTCACAAGTAATCCAAGTGCTCCATCATCTACAACCACAATTGCAAATAGAAGTACCATTAACAACCACAAGTATCATCACCAAGATGGCCAATGAGACTGATTTGGTGAAGGATTCGCTGAAGCATGAGGATCGTTTGATGCCGCCGATTGATTCTACACAAAGGAGAAGAGATTGCATGTGTGAGACAAGATAAATATATACCATACATGAATAAAACTTTCATACTCCACTAGGTTTGACCGTAAGCATGAACATACAAACTAAAACATTTATACTCATAGGAGTAGAATAGTGATGAGGTGGAGGTGGAGCGAATAGCGAAGGTGGCGGAACTACACCCGTAGCGGCGCTAAGACTTTGCATGTACTAAAGAATCTCCACCATCCTCCGCTGCTCGGCCTCCCGCTAGGCCTCCACCCTCTCCAACTTCGCCTACATCTGCTCTCATATCCTCCTCTCTTGTTCCAGCTGGGCCTACAATGCCTTGAAGATGGAGCAAGGCTGGCCACCATGTGACGCCGACTGCGAGAAAAATAGCAAGATGATTAGAAATCAAGCAAAATTGAGCGTTAGAATATATAAATGAATTCGCGTACCCATGTTTCTGCGTATCCGCTAAGGCTGCGGCTGCCTTGATGGTGTGCTACACCTGGCATCATCAAACGCCGCTCCCGACACAAGTTGTGCGTCTCCTCCCACTCGCGTGAACACCACTTGTCCACCATATGTACCCAGAACTGGGGATGCACGGCGCACCAATAAGGAATCATCTACAGGCCATCAAGTACATGACATATCAGAAGATGAAATTAAGCCTACTTAATCTCAAAAGGAATCAGTATTAATGTTCTGTATTTATCTGTAGGTACTGGTCCCGGGTCAGTGTCATGGTTCTTGCGTCCCATTTGGTGACCTTCGTTCCAAGGACGGTCCCATGGTAAGTTACGACGGCCTAGATGCGTGCCTCGTAATAAATGTCCACGATGAGTTTTTTGCAGCATTTGGTAGCCACCGCATCCGCCCTGGCCTCATGTCTGTCCTGGCATCTAAAAAAATCCTGCATACAAACACGATGTATCCATGCATTATTTCAAGAATGTCCAATGAATGCGATGTATTGAGCAATGTAGTGCGAGGAAGACTTACCCACAGCTCTTGCTTCACCCGCTCCGCCTTGTTGTTGAAAACCCTACGGGCCCGATCTGCAGCGTCGGGGGCGGCGGCGTAGTGGTCAAACGAGTAGGCCGGCCCCGTCACTCCGGCGTACTCAACCAGGCCAGGGAAGTACTCCTTGCACAGAAGATCGAGGATGCCATTGACTTGGCGTGTGTGAGCACCTCCACTCGCCACGATGGCCGACATGCACAAGATTATATCCAACCACACATATATAACAATGTCACAATCATTCCTACGACTCCTACGACTACCACCACTGCTACTCTACCACTACTACTACCGCAACTACTAGTAATACTACGACGACGATGACGACGGTAGGGCATACCTAGTGGGCGTCGTAGGGCGGCGGTGGTGAAGGCGCTAGGGCACCGGTGGACAAGGCGACGGCTGGGG